CTAAAAGATTGCAAGAAAAAGAAAGGTAGAGATCTCAGCTTGGATAGATTACAGTAATGTCAAACTCTTGGATCCTTAAGGCTTTGGAAATGTACAAAGTCTCCTCAGTGATTGTAAAATTCCTTAAATATAGCATGGAATTGTGGAAAACCACATTATACCTAAATCACACCAAAGGTACAACTACTTCCAATTGCTTGAAAATCCGACGAATAATCATTCAAGGAGACTCTGCCACCTCTTCTGTTCTGTCTATCCTTAATCTCCCTTTTCTATGGACTAAACGGTAATAAGCATTGATACCAAGTAAAAAAGAAAGTGTTTAATCACCTATTCCACATGGATTATATCAAAACACTCCGTAAAAGACAACAATGAATTGAAGGATATCATTAATACTAAAAAATGTTTTAGGGATGATATGGGTATGGATCTTGGATTAAATACATGTGGAAACGTAACATTCAAGAAAGAGAGAATTCCAGAAACACATTCAATAGATTTAGATTTTGTCACAAAAATTAGGGAACTGGAACATGGTAAAGATTGTAACTTGGGAATCAGCGAATGAGATATAATACAGCATACACAAATGAAGGAGAAATTCCATAATGGATCATTGAAGTTTTTACATATCTCCTGTCAAAAAAAGGTAAAACAGTTAAAAATATCGCCCAAATTATAGGCCAATAACTTGTCTGCCCACCACATATAAATTTATCTCTTCTGTCTTGACGAACTGTACTTACGTTTTTTTCTCGATGAAAACAACATACTTCTCTTGAAACAGAAGGGATGTCGGCTAAGTTCATATTGTTACAAACATCAACTACTAATAAATAAAATGATCCCGGGAAATCAACTACTAATAGATTACCGCAAAAGGGGGAAAAAAAAATTGAAATCTCAGCATGGAACTTGATAGATTACCAAAGGTGCAAAGTCTTTTGAACATCCGACGAATAATCATTCAAAGAGACAACCTCATATTCTTGGATCCTTAAGGATTTGGAAATTAAGTACAAAGTCTCCTTATTGATATAAAAATGTATCTTAAAACCATATTCAAAAAGCTGTCAAAATACAAGGGCATAAAATATAGAAATCTCAAAAATGTGGAATAAATGTTGTAGTTGGAGCCCTAGGAATGGTTGGAAAAGTTCCATAGACTAACTGAAGGATTTCTGGAAAACCTCAAAGAGATACTTGTTCTAAAGCCCAAAAATTTTTTTTTGCAAAGGTGACATGACCATTTTCCTGTTGGTAGTCGTCAGAAATCAAAAAAAAAAATTAATAATATGGTCTAATGTTAGGCAAAAAAAAAATCCCCTTTTTGACTATCATCTGTTATCAACCAATAAAATTCTTGGGACAAACAGTTAATAACTCATTGAGATAAAAATAGTTAAAAAAAAATGTATTTAAATTTATTTCTGTTTAAACTGTTCTTACGTTTTTCTCGAGGAGAAAAAACATACTTCTCTTGAAACAGAAGGATGTCAGCTAAGTTCATATTGTTACAAACATCAACTACTTAAATAAAATGATCATGGATGAAATCTCAGCACAACGGATCAAACTCTTTGAGGATCAAAAAATATGTTGCGGTGAAAAGTAAAATTCTTAAATATACTGTAAAATATTTCAAAATTCATAACATTCGTTATATGTTTCGGATTAGATAAATATAAAAATTAAAAAAAAAAAAAATAATGTGCAACATTGATATCAAACTCTTAGGCAAAAATAATGCGGTGATGAGTATTCTTAATACTGTAAAATATTTCAGTGATAACATCGTTATATGTTTCGGATTAGATAAATATATAAAAGAAATTCAGATCCCATAAATAGATTTTTTTTGGCACAGATATTAGGAAACTGGAATACAAAGAGACCTCTAAATACCTAGGAGCCAGCGGAGCGGATAGAATAAATTAGACCCAAATGGATGAGAAATTAAGAAAAGAACACTACAGATATGTGCTTCTGGTGTTAAATATGGAGTTGAATTCACAAAAAAGTATATCAACCATAAACAGTTTGGATGCGGTGCAATACAGTTGCAATATGTTTTATTGGACTAAAGTTTACATTAACGAATGGATACTATTGTGGGACCGGAACTACCTACACAATAGACTCTTCCAGGTCTATATTAATTATGCGATACAACACTGTAGACAGAGAGACAGTGAGAGTCTCGTACGACTACCAGTATTGGACACTAACATATAGTAAGCTCCGCTTACACTATCTCTGTAACCTGTTAATATATCTTTCTTACATCTAATCCATGTTCCGTGTTTTCCTTCTGTGGTCCCGACTTTGGCCCCACATCAGATACCAAACGAGAAAGTTTCTCAGTTTCCATCGTATGAAGCCTCCTAAGGCTGATCGTCTGTATGGTCCGAGATCCGAGGGAGGCAGAGGATTAGTTCATCTAGCTGTCAGATAACTGAAAACTGCATAAGACCGGCTGATGTGCTGTGTCAAAGAACATGAAAGAAAAAAGAAACGCTATTCAGTAATAAAGGAAGCCAACAGATTCAAAAGTGAATTTCAAGTGGATGAAGAAGTGCAAATAAACCATAATGCACATAATGCAACGGCAAAGTACCTAAAGAAGAAATCAAAAGCAAATGCAATGTACCAAATGCAGAAACGATGGCAAGATAATCCTCTTCATGGTCAACACTGAGCGCGTACGAGACAAGCTGATATGGACAAGCCTATTAGTTGTTACGTAATGCAGGGTTAAAAGCTGAATCGGAAGGTTTTATTCTTGCTGCACAGGACCAATGTTGTTAACTAGAAATTACCAAACACATATACCTAAAAATTATGTTAATCCAAAATGCAGATTCTGTGATAAATATCCAAAAAACAATTGATTATCGTGTATCAGGTTGCACGGTGTTAGCACCCACTGAATATAAAACTCAGCATGATAGAGTGGGCCAGTATCTGCACTGGGAAATATGCATCATTTGCGTGCAGGAAACTGAAAGATATTCGTACTGAACATCACCCAGACCCGGTTACAGAGACAGGACCTGTAACAGTTTTATGGGATTTTACAATACACAAACAGAGCACAAACAAAACTAATCTCGTACACATCGTGATGAAAGACCACGAAAACAAAATATGATTTCTTATTGACATGGCAGTCTCTGTAGATTGTAATGTATCTTTGAAGATCTTCAAAAAAAAAAAAAAACTATCAAAACACAAGGATATTGAAGTAGAAATCTCAAAAATTGTGGCACATGAAGACATCCGTAATCCCAGTTGTAGTTTGCAGCCTCGGTTTGATTGCCTTAAAGAAATACAGAAATTGTTCTCAGAGCTCATCAATTACGAAGGGATTTATCTATGTAAAATCTTAGTGTTTTACTTGTTATTTTATATAAATAATAAATGGAAAATGTTATAATGCCTTTTCTGACATTAGGTCTCTGCATTATGAAAAGGAAGGAATGAGGAAGAGTAAGAATATTGCTCAACATGAATGAAATCAATGAAAAGGTAGCGTAAGATGACGGATTAAAAAGAACGAATGAAGGAAGAGGGCGAAGAAAGAAAGAAAGAAAGAAAGAAAGAAAGAAAGAAAGAAAGAAAGAAAGAAAGAAAAAGAAATGGATGAGAAAGACGGCTGAGAAAGGGAACGAAATAAAAATAAGTGGTAGAGGATGACGCCTGAGAAAGAAAGAAAGAAAGAAAGAAAGAAAGAAAGAAAGAAAGAAAATAAAGAAAAAGAAATGGATGAGAAAAAACTACAGACGGAAGAAAAGGAAAAGAAATAAAAAAAAAGAAAGGTAGAAAGAAAAGATGACGCCTGAGAAAGAAAGAAAAAGAAAGAAAGAAAGAAAGAAAAATAAGAAAGAAAGAAAGAAAGAAAAAACTGGAAAGAAAAAAGAAAGAAAGAAAGAAAGAAACTACAGGGAGAAGAAAGAAAGAAAAGAAAAGAAAAGAAAGAAAGAAAAAAGAAAGAAAAAAGAAAAGAAAAAGAAATGGATGAGAAAGAAGGCTGAGAATGGAAACGAAATAAAAAATAAGTGGTAGAGGATGACGCCTGAGAAAGAAAGAAAAGAAAGAAAGAAAGAAAGAAAGAAAGAAAGAAAGAAAGAAAAAAGAAAAGAAAAAAAAGAAAGAAAAAATACTGGGAGAAGAAAGAAAGAAAGAAAAAAAAAGAAATACTGGGAAAGAAAGAAAAAGAAAAAAGAAAAAAAAAAAGAAAAAAAATACTGGGAGAAGAAAGAAAAAAGAACAGGGAAAAGAAAGAAAAAGGAAAAAAAGAAAAAAAGAAAGAAAGAAAAAAGTTAAGTTAGAAGGAAAGAAAGAGCGAAAGAAACTACAAGAAAAAAAATAATAAAGAAAGAAATAAAGAAAGAAAGACTGAAACTGGAGGGACAAGAAAGAAACAAACAAATTGCAAGGAGAAGTAAAAAGAAAGAAAGTAAGAAAGAAACTACAGGGCGAAGAAAAAAATGAAAGCAAGAAAGGAGAAGAAAGAAAGAAAAAAAAAGAAAGAAAGAATCTACAGACTGAAGAAAGAAAACATATAGAAAGAAAGGATGAAAGACCGAAAAAAAGAAAAGAAAGCAACAAACAAATAACCGAAAAAAAGAAAAGAAAGCAACAAACAAATAACATCATTATCTTGATCGCCCATTGAAGACCATGAGGTATTACCAGAGCAAATCTTCGACTTGTACATAAATCATTCACGGAGGTTTGTACACGCATAACACCAGCATTTGAAACACAGCGAAAATATAAATTCAAATATAACAAAAATAATCTAAACTACCAAAAAATATTAACCTACCGATCGAAATGGCATGATCTTCCATACTAAAATCTTATTAGTGGATTCATTTTTCAGTTAAAGATTTCTTTTCACCCAAGCTTCATTTGGAAAGTGAAAGGTCTTTTGCTGCGAGGCGACAGTCCGGTGACACGATGCTCTATGCTTTAGGATATTTCTTAAGTCAATGCAACAAGCAAAATGCCCATTTTTACGTGATGTCGATTGGATCCTGACAACTTCTTTCTCAAGTCAATTACGAGGTCGAACATTTTCCCGCGTAATCTGTCATTTAATATATATTTAATGGGGATGAGAAAGAACTGTCGCCTTATTGAAAACCAGCCTCACGTCTTCGACTATATTGAAATATAAAAGAGAATATCTATCTATCTATCTATCTAGATATCTATCTATCTAGATATCTATATATATATATATATATATATATATATAGATAGATATATAGATATAGATAGATATTATATGTAATTTATATATATATATATATATATGCATATATATATATATATATATATATATATATATATATATATAAATATAATATATATATATATATATATATATATATAAATTCGCATATAATATCGATCTATCTATTTATCTATATATATATATATATATATATATATATATATATATATATATATATATATTATATGAATATATCTATGTGTGTGTTTATTTATGCATGTGCATATACGTGTTTTAATAGAATAAACAATGTTTTTGAATATAAGTCATTCTTTCCATACATCTATCTATCGACTTACTTCAGTCTCCTCATTATCTATCTGTCTGTCTGTCTGTCTGTCTGTCTGTCTACCTATCTATCTATCTATCTATCTATCTATCTATTATATGATAATATATTTAGATGTGCGTGTGTGTGTGTCTGTAAGTATGTATGTGCATATTTGTGTGTGCGCGTTAGGCGTATTCTAAAAGGATTATCATATACACGTGTTTTAATAGAATAAACGCTATTTTTGAGTAGTCATTCCATCTATCTATCTATCTATCTATCTATCTATCTATCTATCTATCTATCTTAGTCTGTTCATATCTATCTATCTATCTATCTATCTATCTATCTATCTACTTATGTTGATAAAATTCGAAAGCGAATGTTATGATTCCTGACCTTGCCTTTCAGCCTCAGTCACATTCCCATCGCCATAGCACAGTTTTTCTTGTGCTTTTTCGATAAATAATTTCATGCTATTTGTTCTAATGAACATTCCTTTCTTTAGTTTCTTACATCATGTAAACTTAACTATCGGATGTATCCTTCTTGGCCTCTTTCGTTTCGGTCTCCACTATTTTGTTTAGCTTCTTTAAATAAATTGTAAACATTATAAATATTAATTAGTTTCACTTTTAAATCTTATTATTATTCTACACCAGATACAGACAATTTGTAAATATGGGTACTAGTTTGAACAATGTAGAGACTTGAGGTATTATGGTGACTGTAGTAAGAATGTGTTGTTTTGGTATAAGTAATATTGTGGTATCTTTAGGTCAATAATCGTGGCCAGCTTAGTTTAAGATAAGACAGGCTGAAGACCAACCTTCCCCTATCCATCCTTTTCGCCTTGTACCAGATTTTTGTATTTTCAAAATAATTATTACTTACCTCTATAGTACCTAGACTTTATGTATTTAAGTGCAGTACTAGATTATCAGAAAGTTCTCATGATTTTATGGTTGAAATGGCTAGATGTAACCGTAAGTTCTATGCTTGCAGTTTCTTCTCTCACACTTCTAACTTGTGGAACTCTCTTTCAGCTTCTTACTTTCTGGTCAACTTTGATCTTGAAAAATTTAAATTCAATGTCCGTCTCTTAATTCCTATTCTTTTATTGTTGTTTCTCATTAATATTTGTTTTGTTTTTCTCATATTCTCTCACATTCAGTAACCCTTTGTGTATCCTTCTTGGCCTCTTTCGTTTTTGTTTCACTTTTAAATCTTGTTATTATTATTCTACACCAGATACAGACAGTTTGTACATATGGGTACTAGTTTGAGCAATGTAGAGACCTGAGGTATTATGGTGACTGTAGTAAGAATAGTAAGAATGTGTTGTTTTGGTATAAGTAATACTGTGGTATCTTTGGATCAATAATCGTGGCTAGCTTAGTTTAAGATAAGACAGACTGAAGACCAGCCTTCCCCTATCCCCGCTTTTTGGCTTGTACCGCATTTCTGTATATTTCAAAATAAATATTGCTTTCCCGTATGGTGCCTCGACTTAGTCAATTTAAGCACAGTACTAGATTGGCAGCAATTCTATATGCAACAGTAAGTTCTTTGCTAACAGTTTCTCTCTAGCAATTCCAAAGAAGAATTTAATGGTCCAAACCTAGCATATTAGCTTCCGTCGCTTTCCCACTGCCGTTATGTAGCTTCACTGTGACTGCGTTTGCTCACTGGCGATCTATGTTCAAACTCAAGTGTCGTCAGCGACACTTTATTTCTATATAACAGCCTCCTCATTATCTTTATTAAAATTAATTTCTTTAAATTATATTATTTTATGGTAGTTGTAATGAACTAAGGGAACACGTTAGGACTTCATAGAGACTATGAGGTATTATGGCGACTGTAGTAAAAATGTTAAGAAGGTGTTGTTTAGGTGTAAGTAATACCGTGGTATGTTTGGGTCAGTAATACTGGCTAGCTAAGTTTAAGATGAAACAGATCTTCCCCTATCATCTGTTTACTCGTTTTTTTTCTTTCTTTTTCTTTCTTTCTTTCTTTCTTTCTTTCTTTCTTTCTTTCTATTTTTCTTCACTGTATTATTTGAAAATTTGTCTTTAATATTTCTTTCTTTCTGAAATGTCTTTTTTTTCTCATTTTTACTCGTTTACTTAATTTCTTTTTCTTTCTTTCTTTTTTCTTTCTTTCTTTTTTCTTTCTTTCTTTTTTTTCTTTCTTCATATGATTAATAGGGAGTTTGTCCTGTTCTTTCTTTCTTTGTGGAATGTTTAATATATGTTTTCTTTCTTTCTGAAATGTTTCTTTTTTCTTGCTTTTTACTCCCTTTCATTTATTCTTTCTTTCTTTCTTTCTTTCTTTCTTTCTTTCTTTCTTTCTTTCTTTCTTTCTTATCATTACTAATTGGAAATTTACCTTGTATATATCTTAATTTCTTTCTTTTTTTCTTTCTTCGTTCTTTCCTACCATTCTTTCTTCATTTCTTTCTTAAATGTCCTTTTTTTCTTGCTTTTACTCCCTTTCTTTCTTTCTTTTTTATCATTACTAACTGGAAATGTGTTTTGTATATATTTAATTTCTTTCCTTCTTTCTTTCTTTCTTTATTCCTTAAATGTCCTTTTTTCTTACTTTTTACTCTCTTTCATTCTTTCTTTCTTTACCATTCTTTCTTTCTTTCTTTCTTTCTTTCTTTGTGTAATGTTCTTTATTCTTGCTTTGTACTCATTTTCTTTATTTCTTTTTCTTTCTTTCTTTTTTCTATCTTTCTTCACGTTATTATTTGAAAATTTCTCTTCATTATTTCTTTCTTTCTGAAATGTCTTTTTTTTTTCTCATTTTTACTCCTTTACTTCATTTCTTTTTTTCTTTGTCCTTGCGTCACATTTTTTTATTTTTCAAAAGAAATATTGCTTTCCTCTATGTTGCCTAGACTTTATAAATTTAAGCGCAGGACTCGATTGGCGGTAAGGTCTCATCATTTTACAGATGAAATGGATAGATATAACCTAGTAACTGTAAGTTTTATGCTAGCAGGTTTTTTTTTTTTAATCATTTCAGTCCAAGCAAAGGGATAATGCCAGGCAGGGTTTGCATGGAGTGAAAGTGAAAGAGAACGAGAAGAATGAGAAATAAGAACGGACAAAAAAAGGAATGCGGTTCAAGGAGACAGAAAATTGTGATTGACGTTACATTTAAATTTTTGAAGATTATAGTTATCAGGGAAGCAAGAAATTAGGAGTTAGTTCCACGGGCGCAAAGCGCGAGAAAAGAAGATGTTAGATTAGAAGAGGCGGTTGAATCTGGCTAGTTCAATAGTAAAACGGTGAGACCTAGTTGCCAATCTAGTAGCACATTTAAATTCATGCATTCGTGAAACCAGGGGAAAAATTTCATTAGAGAATTTGCCATGAAAATATTCGTAGAAAAGATCGAGGGAAGCCACGTCATGTCGGTGAGAAAGTGACTGTAGTGGAGATGCCATGTCAAGATCGATTACATTTCAGATCCTTATTTGGATTTTGTCAAGAATGTCGAGATAATAGCAAAGGCATCAAGCCAGATATGGCAGCAGTATTAAATGCTAAAATAACCAAACCAAATCATCCTCTGTAGAATAGTTCCTGTTGTTTTCGGATTCTTTTTAACACCTTTTTTTTTTACCAGAGTTGTATCACTTGTAGTGGTTTGTTCTGCTTTACGGCATATCAAACTCAATGGGTTATTTAATGCCGACAATATTTTTATTGCTGGTAATATTTTTTTTCAAAAATGTATTGCTGGTAATATATTTTTAAAAAATGTATTGCTGTTAATTGCTTTTTTCAAAAATGTATTGCTGGTAGAATTTTTTCTATAAACGTTTTGCTGGTATTAAAAAGTAATTTTTATACTTTCATAGTGTTTTAACCCCTTTGGGGGGTACCTATTTGCCCATAACAGGTGCTACCACTCCGGATCAGGGTGGATCTGGGAACACCAGCAACTAAGAGTTGGTTTCACGCTCCTCAAGACCTCCTGATCAGTGGCGTTGCAGTTAGATGTAGTTTATAGTCTTACCCAAGACGCGCATGTACTTTATCGTCTTACCCAGGACGCGGATGCAGTTTATCGTCATACACAGGACGCACATGTAGCTTATTCTCTTACCCAGGACACGGATGCAGTTTATCGTCTTACCCAGGGCGCGGATGCAGTTTATCGTCTTACCTAGGACGCACATGTAGTCTATCGTCTTACCCAGGACGCGGATGTAGCTTTTCGTCTTACCCAGAATGCGGATGTAGTTTATCGTCTTACCCAGAACGCGGATGTAGCTTTTCGTCTTACCCAGAATGCGGATGTAGTTTATCGACATACCCAGGACGTGGATGCAGTTTATCGTCTTACCCTGGACGCGGATGCAGTTTATCGTTTTACCCAGGACGCAGGTGTAGCTTATAGTCATACGCAGGACGGCCTATGAAGTCGAAGCATCATAGAATAATGGATAGCAGGTTCGATTAAATGGATTTTCTTAAGTATCTCAAGATATATAACAGGAGCACCATACCAAATATAATAAAAATGTTCAATGCAAGGCAGATTAATAGATTTATAAACGTGCATAATCGTTTATTTATTTTCTGCCACGATACAGTAAACCAAATTTCCTTGCAGTAGATGTTGCAATTGTTTCGATACTGTCACTCTGCTTCATGTCAGTTGAAGAAGGAATCGCGTTTTGCTTCACCCGGAGTTAAAGCATCGGGAATCTCGTTTGTATGACTCTCTTCCAGCTTCTTCAAAAATTTAAGTGCTATGTCAATCGTTATCTTCTGTCTTCTTAATTCTTGTTCTTTTATTGTTTACTCTCCTTAATAGTGTTTTTTTTTCTTTTTTTGTCATAAATTCTTTCACAGTCAGTAACGTCCTTGCGTTCTATTCTCTTTCTTGCCTTTCCTGGGGGGAAAAAATGATAGAAAATTAGCCAGCACCAGAATAAGTCTATGAATGGATAAACTTAAATCAATTCAAGATTATCCTCTAAAAACAGGGATTTATTGTTAACAGTAGCAATAATCATTAAGAATTTCACTGTAATCCGTATTAGTAATGGTACAACTAGTAAATACCAGTTCATTTAAAGGGACAAATATCAAATGTAGGAGATTTTAGTGTATCAAAAATAAACATATTTCATCAATACGCCATTTCTGGACTCAGGAGATATAATAATTTGTCCATCATTTGGCAATTGTGGTGATAAGATACGTGGTGTCCGTCGGCAGTCATTGGCCGAGTAGCAATTGTTATTTGAGTTACGCTTTTAGTTCATGTTTTCATCACATTTTGGAAATAAAATGTGTAATGAATGAAAGAGAAGATGAATGAATAATTAAAAAAAAATGTTATACTTAGAAAAGAATATAAGACTGGCTACATTTAATGCAAAAACGATAGGTGGAATAACAGAACAGTAATGAGAAAGAAAGAAAGAAAGAAAGAAAGAAAGAAAGAAAGAAAGAAAGAAAGAAAGAACAAATGAAAGAGAGGTAAAAAAAAAAGAAATATTTCAGAAAGAAAGAAAGAACAGGACAAACTCCCTATTAATCATATGAAGAAAGAAAGAAATAATGAAAGAAAGAAAGAAAGAAAGAAAGAAAGAAAGCAAGAAAGAAAGTAAATGAGTAAAAATGAGAAAAATGACATTTCAGAAAGTAAGAAAAATTGAAGACAAATTTTCAATTAATAAAGTGAAGAAAGATAGAAAAAAGAAAGAAAGAAAAGAAATTAAGTACAAAGCAAGAATAAAGAACATTACACAAAGAAAGAAAGAAAGAAAGAAAGAAAGAAAGAGAGTTAAAAGTAAGAAAAAGGACATTTAAGGAATAAAGAAAAAAGAAAGAAATTAAAATATACACAACACAAATTTCCAGTTGGTAATGATAAGAAAGAAAGAAAGAAAGAAAGAAAGAAAGAAGGGAGTAAAAAGCAAGGAAAAGGTACATTTAAGAAAGAAATGAAGAAAGAAATGTAGGAAAGAAGGAAGAAAGAAAGAAAGAAAGAAAGAAAGAAAGAAGGAAAGAAAGAAATTAAGATATATACATGACAAATTTCCAATTAGTAATAAGAAAGAAAGAAAGATAAGAAGTAAAAAGCAAGAAAAAAAGGATATTTAAGAAAAAGGAAGAAAGAAAGAAAGAAGGAAGGAAAGAAGAAAGAAAGAAAGAAAGAAAGAAAGAAAGAAAGAAAGAAAGTGAAAAGGAAAGAGAGAAATAAAGTTTGTAAAAAGACATAGAGACATCCGAGCACTTGGTAAGAAAACTTACAAATGACGACAAAGAAAGAAAGAAAGAAAGAAAGAAAAAAAAAGACACAGAAAGTAATTGAGTGTACTAATTTGACTATTTTCTGAATGGTACTGCTACTAGTTACCGATTTGGATGCCAACAGATGGCGTCACATGTCCCAGGCGGACATTTTCTTTTTACTTCCTATTTTTATCCCCAGAGCAAATGCTGAGTTTTACTCAAAAATTTTGGGCGAGACACAAGTATCGTTGATGGTAGCATGTGTAAACACAAAACCCAGCCTATTCACGACAAGGTTTATAAAGTGTTGAAAACTCTGAACCAAGCGGCGTCTGTTTGTCATCTACGCGACCAGTACAACATTAGGAATACGATGCTTGTTGATATAAAAAAGGCGGGAAAAATATTAAAATTCTTTATGAAGGCAAGAATCCAAGAAAGTAAGAAGCAGTGGTAGCAAATCTGTTCTTTTCTTGGCACATACAGTCTCCTTGCTTCTACGCTAATACAGGGAAAGATACCTTCTAGAAACTAAGTAAGTTATTAAGAAACAGGAAACATCTCGTTATAACGAAGAAAAGAGAGCTGAACTGTTTTACAGCAGAACATGCTGCACAATTTCATCATAGATGAAGATGATAATTGATTCAAAACAAATGTGATCCTACCGGAGGATAATGAGAATAGCCTGGACAGAACGTGTGAGTAGGTAGCAGGTTTTAAGGAAGTTTGATATAAAAATGACGCTTAAGTTTAGTATCAGAAACAGATAACTCTTAGGACACATAATAAGAAAAATTAAGGAATTATTTCGAGGACGCATAAAGAGGAAAGTAGACTTGGCGAATTTGACACTCACTGGATATATAGAAGGCAAGAGAGATAGAAGAAAGTGGTGATTAATGTTTCTAACGAGCTTGTGTAATTGGATGGCAAAACAAGTTCTGGGTGGGATACTGAAAAGACAATGAGCTAGAAAGGACAGGAAGTTGTGGAGGGCCATGATCACTCACATCTTGAAGTGATACAATTTGTAGAAAGAAAAGAATTCACACGTTTGGATGTGAAAATACAGATTTATGCAGCATAGGCCGTATCGTTAAAATCAGAAATCAACAAGGTCTCCTTCAACGAGTCGTTAAGAATGTTTTCAGATCAACAGGAGGAACTGATATACTGCCATTCATATTTGTTCTACTCCGTCACTTTTATTTCTCATTTCCCAGTTATAAAACTCAATAATCATTATAAAATCGAAGTCCAGGCCATTCGTCCTGCTAAGCCGTACCTTTTGAACGATAATAAAGAAAGTGATTTCCCACTGTTTTTTCTATAGATATTTTCATCGTACAAATATTTTCTCTGCTACTTTCACTGGTACCCCAACTGCAGGAATTTAAGCGTGCTACTGGTTTGGCATTTCGGTCCCACCATTTCACTGTCGAAACAGTTAAATATAACCCCCTCTTCTAATCCAACATCTTCTCTCGCAT